TATATATCTAGTTCCTAAATTAACTAGGCACATTTAACTAGGCATAATCAGCCATAAGTGGCTATAGTATTTGGCAATATGGATGTATGACATTTCCATCATTGCAGGAGGTCTTCCAGGGCTGGGCTGTCTCAGAACTGGACTATGCAGGGATGGGAAAAGTATTCTATGTGGCGTGGATTATAAGAACAGGCAGGGAGGAGTGTGCAAAAGAGATCAGAGGAAAATGGAGGTAAAAGGTCAACTGGAATCAGATTTATGGGACTTGAATGGAAGATACAGAAGTGTCATAAGCAACCCCTTTCTTTTTTCATCCATTCCTGGGGATTAAGACATATCAGTAGATATTTTCTTTATTCCTTTCTCCAGCTACAAAAACATCATCAGTGAATATAATGTAACATATTCAAGCAGCACCTCTTGATGGATATTTGGGTTGTTTCCAGTCTTAGTAAACACAATGCCTTATGTAGAAGACAATTTATATTTTATACAATGTTATCTTGGACCCAGTGGATCCAGGGGTGGCCTTCCGGTGCTCCAGCCTAGAATTCACTTCTAGACCTTCAAGCAACTTTGCAAGTAATGGACAGGAAATCCCTGCTTCCTTCCGTAGATTCAAGGGTAAGCCTTATCCAGAGGAATGCAAGCAGATGCTAAGGGGGCATACAACTGCCTGCTCTAGTGCCACCACAGAGACCACACTTATCACTGCAGCATATCATTCACTCAAATGAAAGGGATAAGCTTCCCGGATGGAGTTTTCATATTCCCTGAAACCGTACAAGTGCCTTGTTGACAGTCTGCAGCTCAAAATCATTTTATTTTATTTTTTTTAGGGAAGGGTGGAGATTGAACTCCGGGATATTCTACCATTGAGTTACATCCCAGTCCTTTTTTTTTTTTTTTAAATTTTGGAACAGAGTCTTGCTAAATTGCCTAAGCTGGCTTTGAATTTGTAATCCTGCCTCAGTCTGTTGGGTCACTGAGGATATGGGTGTGTATCACCACACCTGGCTCAAAATAATTTTCTTTTTCTTTTCTTTTTTCTTAAAGAGAGAGAGAGTGTGTGTGAGAGAGAATTTTTTAATATTTATTTTTTAGTTTTTTCTGCGGACACAACATCATTGTCTGTATGTGGTGCTGAGGATCGAACCTGGGCCACACGCGTGCCAGGCGAGCGCGCTACCGCTTTGAGCCACATCCCCAGCCCATAATTTTATTTTTTTTTTATCTTTGTTTTTATTTATTTATTTTTATGTGGTGCTGAGGATCAAACCCAGGGCCTTGCATGTGCTAAGTGAGCGTTCTACTGGTGAGCCACAACCCCAGCCCCTCAAGATAATTTTAATCAAATAGGGAGCATATGGGGAAAAAATGAAGTTGGGTCTTTACTTCATAGAAGGATAATTCCCAAACTTATAAAAAAATTTTTCATGCCTAATAATGAAACCAGAAAGACACTAGAAAAATGTAGGAAAACTATTTAATAACCTGAGTGAGGAAAGTTTCTCTAACTATGAAAACAGAGCAGAAAGTCTTTGAGATCTATGGCTGGATAAAGAGTTCTTAGACATGATACTAAAGACATGATTTATAGAAGAAAGAGTCAATAATTTTTGAACTTTTTCAAAATTTAAAACTCTTGTTCTGCAAAAGTCCCTGTTTAAGAAATGAAAACACAAGCTATAGAATGGGGAAAAATTGTAAAGTATATAAGTGACAAATGGGCTTTATTTAGAATATGTAAAGAAATCTCAAAATCTAATTGTGGAAAACCAACAACCACTAAGAAAATGACCAAAAAACATTAGCAGACATTTCATCCAAGATGATAAAAGGATGGTAAAGATGTTCAATAATATCACTATCTGTTAGGGAAATGCAAATGAAAGCCACATGAAATATCACTGTATATCTATTAGAGTGTTAAAGGGTGGGGGGGAAAGCAATCCCAAATTCTGGATCTCTCTTCTATTGCTAGTGGAAACAAAGTGGTAGAGACACTCTGGAAAATAATTTGGCACTTTCCTATAAAATTAAACATGTACTCACCATATAAGATCTCAAATCACACTCCTGGGCATTTATCTCAAGAGAATGAAAAATTTACAAATTTACAAATTTTCAAATACCTGTACATGTTCATGACACTTTTTTTTGGCGTGTGTGTTGCTGGGGATTGAAGCCAGGGCTTTGGGCATGTGAGACAAGCACTCTAACAACTGAGCCATATCCCCAACCCTTGTTTTGTTTTTGGTACCAGGGACTGAACTCGGGGGCACTTGACCACAGAGTCACATCCCCAACCTTATTTTGTATTTTATTTAGAGACAGGGTCTCACTGAATTGCTTAGTGCATCGCCATTGCTGAAGGCTGGCTGCTACTGCACACGCCTGTAATCTCAGTGACTTGGGAGTCTGAGACTGGAGGATTGCAAGTTCAAAGCCAGCCTCAGCAAAAAAAAGCTTGTCGATAAACAACTCAGCGAGACCCTGTCTCTAAATAAAATACAAAAATTAGGACTGGGAATGTGGCTCAGTGGTTGAGTGCCCCTTAGTTCAATTCCTTGTACTCCCCCCAAACAAAACAAAACAAACAACAACAACAACAACAAAAACCCAAAACACTTTTCAGTCTTTTTTCTGTGAGTAGGATGGGTACTGGGGGTTGACCTCATAGAGTTGCTTATCCCAAATCTTTTTTTTTTTTTTTTTTGGTGTTGGGGGTTGAACCCAGGGCCGTGTGCATGCAAGGCAAGCACTCTACCAACTGAGCTATATCCCCAGCCCCCCAAACTTTTTTAAAAAAATTCTAAAACAGAGTCTTACAAAGTTGATGAGGCTGTCCTTGATCCTCCTGCCTCAGACTCCAGAGTAGCTGGGATTATGGCATGTGACACCATGCTTCAGCTAACTTTTCAACCTTTAATACATCCCTTTATTTTCCTATATGCTAAAACAGGAGTCCAACTTAATTTTCTTCCAGATAAATTGTGCCAGTACTTTCTATTAAGTAAATAATCTTTTTACTACACCTCTGAAATTGTATACAAAATTTCCATCTATTTTTGGTTTCCTACCTTATTCTTCTAACCCATTTGACTACCCCTTTTGTTGATAATTTTTAAAATTGATGTAGTGGACATGAATCAGGTTTTAGTGGCTCAATAGATACAACTTCTCTCAGTATCTGCTGCTTGGCACAAACATGGGTGTGATGTAGCCATTAAGAGCAAGGTCAAGGTGAGTAGGGTGGGTACTGGGGGTTGACCCCAGAGTTGCTTATCCCCAATCTTTTTTTTTTTCCTGCAGAATCTAGTATGGGAAGCCTGGTGGAGTGACATTCAGCTATTCAGAAGTGGTGGTAGGGAACTGGGAAAGCAGCTTAGCACACAAGAGGCCCTGCCTCAAGCTCCAACACACAAAGTGGGGAAAACCACGCACCTTCAGAAGTTGCAGATTAGTGGACTGCCTTTGTAGGACCATACTTTGAAATTGTTAGATGTTATTACTGATGATGGTGTAAGGGTCTGCATCCTAGATTCCTTTTCAGTCTCAACTAGCCAGAGTGGCTTCTGGGTTTTATAAGTTACAGTACTTACAGATTCAAACTGTTTTCATATTTTATTCTTGGATTTTGTTCATTAAATCTAGTTTCCTATTGCTCCTCCACCACTACTCAAATTTCCTTACTTGAGCTTTCTCAAATTATTGGTTTTCATATCTTTGAAGTACTTTTGAAATTCTCCTGGTGTATTCTAATTGAAACTTCAATTTATATTAATTTCAACTTTTTTTTCAAATAATAATACAGCCAGGCATGATAGTTCATGCCTGTAATCTCAGAGACTAGGGAGGCTGAGATAGGAGGACTATAATTTCAAGGCCAACCTTAGTGAGGCCCTAAGCAACTTTGTGACACTGTCTCAAAACAACAAAAAAAAGGGCTAGGGGTGTAGCTCAGTGTTAAAGCATCCCTCAATCCCCAGTACAAAATAGTTTTATTTTTAGATTGTTTTCATTTGGTCTTGTGTCTTTTTGAATTTTATTTCTAGATATTACAGTTTTAGCTCTGATGTAGCTGGGATTTTATTTATTTAAATATTTATTTGCAGTACAGGGCATTGAACCCAGGGCCTTATGCATCTAGGAGAAATGCTCTTCCACTGAGCTACATCTCCAGCCCTTTTAATTATTTCCTCCTTCATTTCTTTTTCTTTTAGGTATTTATCTTAGTATAGGAAATTCTGTTTATTTTTGTATACTTAATATTTCAGTGGTTTTTTTCCCCTAGTGCTAGTAGATTTTTATTAGGATTTCTTAGATTTTTCTTGTTACAAAAATCAAGAAAAGGGCTGGGAAGCTAGCTCAATTGGCAGAGTGCTTGCCTTGTATGCACAAGGCCCTGGGTTCCAATGCCCGGCACCAAAAAAAAAAAAAAAAAATCAAGAAAAAAGTATCTCACTTGCTCAGTATATACTTTTCCCACTCCTTACTGCATCTGTTATACTAATAATGATGATTAGTAGTTTAGTAGTAAACCTGTCTTGCTCTGACTTTGATCATTTTACTTAAGTTAAAAAACAAACAAGAACAACAACAAAAAAAACAATTAAGTTGGGTGTGATGGCATACTGTAATCCAAGTGAGGTTGAGGCAGAAGCACAAATTTGAGGCCAGCTGCAGCAACTGTCTCAAAGAAAAAAAAAAAGTGTGTGGGGGGGTATAGGAATAGCTAGTGGTGGGTTTAATCCCCAGGACTGCAAAACCAACAAAACCCTGAATTGGGATGCCTATTGAATTTTGTTAGACATCTTCAACATAAATGTCATGACTGTGTAACCTTTCCTGCTTTAACTTTGTAATGAAACCATGCATGTTAGATTTCCTACTATCAACCCACACTTGCATCCCTGGTCAGTTGCTATTAACAGAAATGCCAACTTCCTGGCATTTGGATGGCTCCTTTCCTAGTTTCAGGTAGATTTTCTTCCATGTTTCATCATTTTGGCTATTTCAATTTTGACTATGCAAGAAAACAACTTCAACTTTTCCAGTAACCTAATACTTGTTAATTACTAAAGATAACTCAGAAGATAAATAAACCACACACAATTATGTTACCTTAAGTTCCCAAACAGTGTTTGCTAACTTGCTACAAACTTCCTTTGGTGTTTATTAGTAAGTTTCCAGTCTCACAAAAACCTCAGGTATCTAAGTGGAGTACTTGATGCTTTTCTGGATTCTGGGGGACTACTGTTGAGAGAGCTCTGCTGCCTCTTCTCTTAAGGAAAAAGCTGCCACTTAGAGTTGTGCATTAAACTGGGTGTCAATGCCACTCACATTCAGCCATCGTGTCTATGTATACTTACAATTCCCCAGAAGGTATCAGCAGAAGGGGTGGCAATAAGGCCAGATAGATGTTACGAGGGACCCATAGTCACTTCTGAAACTAAAAAAGACCTGGGCCTAGTTAGGTTTTTGAGAATAGCCATTTTCATCCATGCCTTTCCTCCTGTTATCAAATGGCAAAAGTCATGTTCACTCCCAGTGTTCTCCTATAGGCAATATTCTATTTCTTAAGCAGAACAGTGGTTTCAGAGGTGTTCATTTTATTATGCTTTATGTACATGTTACATATATTCATTTTGAATGCCTTGATACAAATAAAGAAAAGCACATTTATACAAATAAGAATGCTGTTACCATGGAATGACCTCAAATCTACTTAAAATTTTCTTCAATTAACTTATTAACAAACCTCAGTACTTTAACTATTATTAATTAGCAAATGTAATAACTCATATACATGTCTTGATGCTAGCTAGAAATCATTGTACTGTTGAAAGTATTTAGGAAAAAATAGTAATGTTTTCAAAGATTACATGGCAGCGTAATTATTCTATTAAAACTTGTTATAGCTGGGCATGATGGTGTACACCTGTAATCCCAGCAGCTTGGGAGGCGTAGACAGGAGGATCTCAAGTTCAAAGCCAGCCTCAGCAACAGTGAGGTGATAAGCAACTCAATGAAACCCTGCCTCTTAACAAGGCTAGGGATGTGGCTCAGTGGTAGAGTACCCTGCATTTCAATCCCTGGTACCTCCTAAAACAACAACAAAAACTTGTTATAGACCTGGGTGCATGCCTGTAATCCCAGCAATTTAGGAGGCTGATACAGATGTAGCTCTGTAGCAAAGCACCCCTAGGTATCCAAAAATCAAAACCAGAAATAAACAAAAACTTGTTATAATCTGTAGTTGCAGTGTGTGATAAGAGGCAAATATTCCTCTCAGCCTGTCTCCAGAGTTAAAGCAGTCACTGAGTGGCAGAAATTTCTTCCAGAATCTAACATATAGAAATTGGGACAGGGGCTGGGGATGTGGCTCAAGCGGTAGCGCGCTCGCCTGGCATGCGTGCGGCCTGGGTTCGATCCTCAGCACCACATACAAACAAAGATGTTGTGTCCGCCGATAACTAAAAAATAAATATTAAAAAAATTCTCTCTTAAAAAAAAAAAAAAAAAAAAAATTGGGACATTATTAGCTGCATTTGAACAGCAAAAAAAAAAAAAAAAAAAAAAAAAGAGAGCCTTCAAAATTCTGTTCAGCTGCAAAAGCTAAAAACGCTTGGGTGCAGCAGATCATTTTACTGTGTGATAGAGGTTGCTAGCACTATTCAACATCCAATTCTCTTTCTCCTCAGCAATAAAATCCGTAAAAGTTAATTTGGTTCAGGGCAACTCAGAATAAAGACTAATTTCTCATCTTCCTCTGTAGCCAGTGGGACAAAGCAAATAGGATTGTTAGCCTCTGGAGTGAGAATGGTAGCTGCCAACTTGGGGGGTGGGGTTCAGATGCCTAAAGGAAGTTTCTAAAGGGAGCAGCTGTCCTGACTATGACATGAAAGCCACATGTTGAAATGGGGAGGAGCAATATGTAAGGGACTGGATAGCACTGCAGAGCATCATCTTACCCTCAACTGTTTCCCAGACTCTATAAGCAAGAGAAACAAACTTCTACTTTGTATAAATCACTACTGCTTGGAAACAGTGAAACTATCACATAAAAAAACCAATGAATGTCAGTTTTGGCTTAATTTCCTTAACTTAAAGGGGTTTATACAGGTGATACACTATATCTTGCTGTCTTTACATCTATTGCTAAGATGCCCTAACATAACAGATGTTTCCCATGGATAACACTGTGTCAACAAATGGCCATTTTCAGAAGAACTTAATTTCAAATATATGGCACCCCAGGGCAAAGTCTGAAATTACGGTTTTTTGGGGTAGGGGTAGAGGTGGGAATCAAGAACAAAAAGTACCTGCCTTTGACTAGCTTAGGATGTTAAAAATGAAGTCCCTTCCCAAAAGAGAACTGTAACAAGCAATTTAAACAAAACAAAATGGTTTGTTTTATTTACAATACTCAATGCATCTTACAAATGATATTTTCATTCCCTAAGCCTTTTGGAAAGTAATTCCATTTTGTGCAATGAGTTTACAGGAAAATCATAAGATATCTGTTTGACATCTTAAACCTAAATCCTAAATTGTGAAAGATAATTCACACTATATTAATAAAGGACTATTTTTTAATTAAGAAAAACTAAACTCTGTAGTTAAATATTGCCCTCTGGCATCTTTAGCCCAAATACAAACTGGATTAGCCTATGAAATAATAATACCATTAGATTTGGATAAATTATTCTGACCTCCCCATCCCAACAAAATGCATGCACAAAGTAAACATAGTAAATTACATTAATCACATTTTATTTCAATACTTTCTTTTTGGACTCTCTCAACTATTATTTGCTCAATTCAGGGTATGGACAGATAGGATTCCAGTCTGGAGAAATCTGAAACCAGCCAGTAGTCCCTGTTCCAGAATAGTGAAGAAAGACTTCAGTTAGGACCTGGAGACCGGCCAGGATTAGGGAGTCTTGGGAGGGTTTATTGGAGGGGTAGGAGGGCTTGCTTGCAAATAGCAATTCCCTCCAGAACTGGCAAAACCTGAAGGGGTCAGTTATTTTCCCACTAGCAGTCTGGGGAGCATCTAATCTATGCTTCCATAGAACAATAGGCTCCTCTTTCTCCCCTCCTCCCTGAATCATTACTTATAGTTTGGTGTCTTCTGAGTTGATAGAAGCCAGCTCCTCTGTTCAGATACCAGAAACTGCTTTGACGTCACATACACATTTTATGGAACAGACAAGGAGCAATGAACAACACTTGTGCAAGGGTTTACACCTCATGCATGTAAGAGAACGGGATTAATTTTTGTCATTCATATAGCTGCCACCTCTTAATACATAAAATGATGGCTTAACTACTGAGAGAAGGGACAGAGATTATCTCCATACTGGATCCATTCCAATTGAGTAATGTGTTTCTCCATCTCAACAATCATCACTCCTCAATTTTTTTTTTTTTTTGTAGTGCTGAGTCTTGAACTCAGGGACTTGTGCATACTAGGCAAGCAACTCTACCACTGAGCTACCTTCCCAGCACTCTCCTCAATCTTTAACACCTGGCAAAGGTGGCTGAATGGGGAGATATTGAACTATTGTTTGACAGTCAAAAGAATTCTAAGATAAAGAAGTAGTGAGGTAGAGTTGAGAGAGTTCAATTAAAATTTTAAGCATAGACATTTTGGCACATTCTAAAATTACAGACTCCCTATCAAATTCTCCTTTTGATACCTTTACAAAGTGCTGACAACTTAGGAATTTTCAGCTCTACTTAGGAAATATGTAAGTAAAGCTAACAAAATATAAAGTTATTTGAAGAAATCCATTCCTGGCATTTTACCTAATATTTACCCCCATATTGAAGCAAATAAAAACAATGCTATCCATTTGCTGAATTTATTTAAACAAATCAATTTAGAAATATCATAGAATTAAACAAAACTCTGACATGTAAACATACTGCCATGTTCCTGAAACAGATGTTAACACCTGATGAAAGTTAATAATTGCCTGTTAGGAAAGCTGTCCATTAATAAGGCCAGTCTTCAGCAAAACTAAAACCATTCTGTTTCTTTAGCTTTCCTAGACTGACAATGCAATACTATCAAGCCACAATCAAATATAATAGAGACGACATTGGATGGATAGATCAGTACCATTGGTTACAGCTGTTAAACAGTTTCATTCTTGGTGCCACATAAAAACAAGCCAATCACATCAAATAAATCATGGCTTTTTTCTTTATCACAATTTACTAAGTGATGTTAATTATGGTCCTTTCAAACACGTCTGGTAAAGGCTATTTACAGTGTACATGGCCGAGCATGCACTATTTATAGTTACAAAGATACCTGCCAGTTTATTACAATAGAATTACACAGTGCCTGAAAATGGTGAAACATCTCACACATCATTTAAATCAATACAGTTTCAAGCAGAAAATGTTCCTTATTTGACCACAATTGCAATAATTACATGAAAATTCTTATAAAAACATGAATCCCCTTCAAGAAATTGATGCATATTCTACGCACTACAGGTTAAGGCAGTAAAAAAATGTATTCCTGATAACTGGAGGTCTTGACAATGTCAATTAAAGCTGTCTGACTCTAGTTTTTCATTCTCCATCACATACTCAAAGTTTGTGAATGATTTCATTTTTAAAGTCAAAAAATTATTAGCAAGTAAGAGTTGACACTGGAAAAAAAGTAATTGCTAGGGAAAGGAAAAATTCTAGGTTGGATTTGCTTGAAAGTTTTCAAATCATAAACAAGAGCATTATTTGTTAGTTTGAACCTTAAGTGTATAAAATGAATACATATAGTTTACTTTTTTAATTTAAAATATACTGTACTTTGAACAATTCAAGTAATGTAAGACTATCAAAAATAACTTCATAAGCCATACAAGTGTCAATTGCATTTGCAATGTTTTAATTAAGAACTTTTTAAAAATTGCAACTAAACCATGACAGTTTAGTTAAACAAATGGTAAATCACTTTTTATTTGCACTTGTGATTCCTTTAATACAAATTGCTACCAACAAATATGTAAAGATATGGCAGATTATGCATTTGATCAAAGCACTTTCATATAAGCATAAAACAGATTCAAATGGTATAAGTTCGTGCATAAGATCCAAGGAGTTGCCTACTAACTTAGAGGCAGCCCTCTCTCTAATCAGAATCCATTATTCCTCAGCTGCAGATGAGACAGGGCACAATCTGTTGTAAACAGGGAACTGTTGTAAAACCAGGATAATATTCTTAAATTAAGATCATTCTTGTTCAATTGAAAAGACTTTCCCAAGTGTCTTCCAGCACTGTAGTATATTCTGCTGACCTCTTAATTTCATAAATTAACTCTCCTTTGATTCCATTTTTACGGTGGTTGTGTTCACAGTTTTGTTTTAAAAATTGGTTTAAATTTATTATATAAAACTCTGTACATGTTCACAAATTATTGCATAAACAGCATAATCTTCAAGACAGTGTTTGCAAACACATGTCCAATTCAGGAAAAAAAAAAATTCACGTTTCCCGTCTGGCTTTTTTCTTCTTTTTTATTTGTTTGGGAGATTCCCAGTTAGTTTCAGACTTGGCTAAAAGGGAGTGGGGTGGGGGATGGAGAGAGAAAAAAAGTTAAGAGTATAATAAGCATTGTTATGTTTCAATAATACAAAAATAGTAGCTAAAAAAAAAAAAAATGCTTCAAAATTCTCAAGTTAAAAAAAAATTCAAGTTTTATGTTTAGATTTTCAAGTCCCAATTGAATATTTTAAAGTTAGTCTATATCTCACTTCTCAGAGGAGGACATACAGTCAATCAACAAGTACATGAAAAAATGCTCACCATCTCTAGCAGTCAGAGAAATGCAAATCAAAACCACCCTAAGATACCATCTCACTCCAGTAAGATTGGCAGCCATTATGAAGTCAAACAACAACAAGTGCTGGCGAGGATGTGGGGAAAAGGGTACACTTGTACATTGCTGGTGGGACTGCAAATTGGTGCAGCCAATTTGGAAAGCAGTATGGAGATTTCTTGGAAAGCTGGGAATGGAGCCACCATTTGACCCAGCTATTCCCCTTCTCGGTCTATTCCCTAAAGACCTAAAAAGAGCATGCTACAGGGACACTGCTACATCGATGTTCATAGCAGCACAATTCACAATAGCTAGACTGTGGAACCAACCTAGATGCCCTTCAATGGATGAATGGATAAAAAAAATGTGGCATTTATACACAATGGAGTATTACTCTGCATTAAAAAATGACAAAATCATAGAATTTACAGGGAAATGGATGGCATTAGAGCAGATTATGCTAAGTGAAGCTAGCCAATCCCTAAAAAACAAATGTCTAATGTCTTCTTTGATATAAGGAGAGTAGCTAAGAACAGAGTAGGGTCGAAGAGCATGAGAAGAAGATTAACATTAAACAGGGATGAGAGGTGGGAGGGAAAAGGAGAGAGAAGGGAAAATGCATGGAAATGGAAGGAGACCCTCAGAGGTATACAAAAGTACATACAAGAGGAAGTGAGGGGAAGGGGAAAAATAATACAAGGGGGACAAACGAATGTCAGTAAAGGGGGCAGAGAGAGAAGAGGGGAGGGGAGGGGAGGGGAGGGGAGGGGGGATAGTAGAGGATAGGAAAGACAGCAGAATACAACAGACACTAGTATGGCAATATGTAAATCAATGGATGTGTAACTGACGTGATTCTGCAATCTGTATATGGGGTAAAAATGGGAGCTCATAACCCACTTGAATCAAATTGTGAAATATGATATATCAAGAACTATGTAATGTTTTGAACAGCCAACAATAAAAAATTTAAAAAAAAAAAAAAAAAAAAAAATAAAGTTAGTCTATATCTGACTCCCTTTTTTCTTTTTAATCCCAATTTATTATTAGATGTGATCATAAGGAAGCTAAAATATTCAACCAGTTTTGACCTAGAGAAAGCATTTTTTTTTTGAGATGGGGGTCTGGTTGTATTGTCTAAATTACTCTTAAACATCTGGACTTGAGTGATCCTCCTGCCTCAACTTCTCCAGTAGGTGGAACTACAGGTGTGTGCCATGGCACCCAGTCACCATTTAATATGGCTCAGCTTAACTAATACAAGAGAAAAATGGGTAATATGGACACTAGAGGTAGCTGTAGGGAGACAAGGAGGAGAAAAAGTACAGAACAATTTGACGTCACAACACATATACAAAGAAAAAGGGAGAAGGACCAGACAGATAGGTAGGCAGGAACCCAGTCTTCCTCTGTTCTTGGCCATTTGCTTTCTCCTTCAGTTATTTTAGCAACTTGGCCCTCACAACTGGAGTTCACAATATTCCAAGAAATCTAGCACTTGCAGAGGAAGTAAGGGCTACTCAATTACTCCATTAAACTTCTAAGATCAGAATCTTCACACTTGTATACAAAAAAAAGTGAACAGTACAGAAGTAAACAAAATAACCAAAAAAGAGAATTTCTTACTCTGTGAAGGAGGCACACTATTTTGCTTGGTATTTGACTTGGATTTTTCTGTATCTTGTAGCATCGGTGGCACTTGGGAAGAGCTTTTGTCAGAATCACTCTTTGATAAGATAACAGATGGCTCGGTAGGAACAGCAGGTGGAAGAGTCTTGATAGGCTATTTTGGAATAAAATTACCTCAGATGTTTATAATATTTTCAAATAAAATTAAGTATACTAATATCAAGAGGTTATTTGGCAGGAAGTAAATACTAAGATGTTGTAAGTTATCAGCAGAAGCACTGCAACTCATGTCTGCCCTCTAGTGACAAGGCCAAATAAACCATGACCTCACATTACTTGCGAATACAGGTTGAGATAAAAATGGAAGGTATAAAATTATAAAATACCCAATGAATCTCAAATAGGAGTGAATAATCCCATTTTCATTATTATTATTATTTTTTTGGTACCGGGGATTGAACTCAGGGGCACTCCACCACTGAGCCATATCCCCAGCTCTATTTTATGTTTTATTTAGAGACAGGGTCTCATTGAGTTTCCCAGCAACTCACTTTTGCTGAGGCTGGCTCATGATTCTCCTGCCTTAGCCTGGGATCACAGGTGAGTGTCACTGCACCCAGCTCATTAACTTTTATGATTTCTATTTCATTATATGATTTCTATTTCATTTCTATATTTCACTTTTTAATATTTTTTAGACATTCAATGGTTCTGCTGACATTCTACCAACTTTGAACTTTTCAAAATTCAAATTTAGAAATTTTTTTTTGAAATTTTCAAAGTCTGGAAGTGAAATTAGAATACTAAAGGAGGGCTTGATTTTGTGTGTGTGTGTTTGTTTCTTCTGGAGATTAAACTCAAGCACTTGATTACACTAGGCAAGCATTCTACCACTCAAGTACATCCCAGTGCTTTCAAACTCTCAATCCTTCTGCCGCAGTCTCTTGAGTAGCTGGCACTAGAGGTATGTGTCAGCACCCGCAGCAGGGCCTAAATTCTCCTTACTGAGGCATAACCATTAATGAATGGTCAGGACCAGTTAATACTAAAAAGGCTAGTATTTGAAGTGTCTTGAGGCTGTGAGAAATCAGATTATTTCACTGGCTAGCTCTACCTGCAATCATTATTTTGAATTTCCTATAGAAACAGCGTAAGTAATGTTTCTATTGCCCATCTTCCTCCAGTCTCCATGAGTTCAAGAAGGTCCAACAGGAAAAGAACTTCTTTAGAGAAGTGGCATGAGTAAAGACAACTACTAGTATTCCTTCATTCTAGTTCAGGTGTCTGAAGTTACACTGGATTGCTTGGTTTATCTTTCATAATGTTACCTGTATTTATTCCATATGCAAAAGTTTTATTGCATATTTTCAATCATTTTCCCCTCTATCTTACCACTTATTTACAGTAAATCATAGAAGGGTTCAAATATTCTTTACAAGATGGCTTTTGAAAAGGATTTAAATACAATACCAAAATGTCAGCTGGCCCTTTTCCATTTACCATTAAATTTCTACATATACTCAGATTGCATCTGTTTACCAGAAAACACTTATAGGGAATCAAGAACTTCATACCCAAATAGCAAATATTATTAAAGCTCTGTTTTAGTACAAGACTTTTTAAAATTCTTTCTCTTAGCAGTAACTCAATTTGTCAGAAGCTGTTTTACTAAATATGAAAGTTCTCACAAAGACAAGGATGTTTTGACTGCTTTGTTCTCTGAGGTATCTCAACACTTCAAACATATAGTTGGTCCTCAGTAAAATTTCTGAATGGGCAAATAAAAGAACCAGGCAGGGGCTGGGGTTGTGGCTCAGCAGTAGAGCACTCGTCTAGCACATGCAAGGCCCTGGGTTCGATCCTCAGCACCACATAAGACAGCATTCAAAAACTTTTTACCATGGGACTGGGGTTGTAGGTCAATGGTAGAGCACTTGCCTAGCATATGTGAGGCACTGGGTTCGATTCTCAGCACCACATAAAAAAATAAAGGTATTGTGTTCATCTACAACTAAAAAAAATTAAAAAAAAATTTGTTACCAAATTTTGGAAGATTGAACCAATGATTTTATGTGTATACTCTGGGGATAATACAACCAGGCACATTTTTCTCTAAACCATCTATCCCTTATGTGCCTAGATATCCAGTAAAAGTAAAGTATATAGTACCCACCCCCATCTTTATCTGTGGGAGATATGTTCTAAGACCCTCAGTGGATGCTTGAAAACTGAGGTAGTACCAAACCTAATATACTATGCTTTTCCTATTCACTCTTCCTGTAGATCTTAGCAATCTTGAAATCCAATTTTTTCTTCCCTTATTAAGTCAAGAACTTTCTCTTTTCTTGTAAAGAAGCACTTTATATGGGCTGGAGTTGTAGCTCAGCGGTAGAGTGCTCGTCTCGCACGTGTGGGACCTTGGGTTCGATCCTCGGCGCCACATAGAAAAAAATAAATGAGTGAAAAAAAGGTATTGGGTCCAACTACAACTATAAAAAAAATAAAATATCTTAATTAATTAATTAATTTATTTTTTACATTTGAATCAGATGGGATATAATTTCTCATTTTTCTGAGTGTACAGGTTGCAGGATTACATTGGTCATGCAGTCACATGCAGTCTTATCTTTGGCACATTCAATTCGCCAGCATCACTTCTCTTGTGCTTTGGGACCATTATTATTATTTAAAAAAATTTTTTTTTAGTTGTAGATAGACACAATACCTTTATTTTAATCATTTATTTTTTATGTGGTGCTGAGGATTGAACCCAGGCAAGAGCTAGGCAAGTGCTCTACCAATGAGCTACAACTGCAGCCCCATGGAGCCATTATTAAGTAAAATAAAAGTAAAGGTTATTTAAACTGCACTGTGATATTAAGACAGTTAAACTGATAACTGAGAGGGCTATTATGTGATTAATGAGCAGGTAACATATATGGCATTAATTAGCTGAACAAAGGGATGACTCATGTCCAGGAAGGGCAAGAAATAATGCAATTTCAACATACCACTCAGAATGACAAGTACTTTAAAATATATGAGTTATTTATTTCTGAAAAATTCCACTTAATATTTTCAGACTACATGTCATCATAGAAACCAAAACTGGATGAAGGGGAACTGCTGTGTAGTGGCTCCAATTTTATTACTGTAGCTATGGGCAAATTATTCAACTTCTCTAGCAACATTTATATGATAGGTCTTACCTTCTCTTTGTTTTCTGGACTAGTTTGTGTTTAAAGTACTTACCGCAGTGCTTCAGCAAAATTTTAATGATACAATTCTTGAGTCAGTAAAACTACTACTATTCCTTAAAAATTACCTGGCTATTTTTGATGAGTACTTCAACTGGATCACTAGTGCTTGTGGTCTTCAAGGAAAATGCTTTTTCTTGTTTTGGACGGGCTTTAGAGGTATTCACTGGAAGCTCTTCTCTAATCTCTTTTTCTAATTCTTCTGTGTCCTTCAGAGAAAAGTAGTTTGTATATTAGATAATAAAAATCATTCATTCGTTACTAATTAAAATTTATTTTGCTTGTTGTCCTTAAGATGCCACAAGAAAATAATTTCATTTCACAGAAGTTGTCCAAATCACTTTTAGAACATATATTGATCACTTTTGATTTTTCCAGGGAGTTATATCAATTGTGAATGGAAAAAAAAAGACATAATGCTGTACATGGTCATGCATGCCTGAAATCCCAGCTCCCAGGGAGGCTGATGGAGAAGGATTACAAGTTTGAGCAACATAGCAAGACCTTGTTTCAAAATTAAAAATAAAGGGTTGGGGATGTAGCTTAAATGTAAAATACTCCTAGGGTTAATCCATAGTACAAGAAAAAATAAACAAACAAACAAAAAAAACCCACAAAATTTTTCGAATGACTTTTTCAAGGAACAAAATATTCATGCAATCATACATGTATACTGGTAATGTCCTCATCATTCCACCATCTTTCCCACCCCTGAATTAATATATTATTCTTTAGCTAACACATACATGTAAATAGTGGTGGTTCTTTTATCTTTCTTATTTTTATTTTACTTTTTAAACATGTTTATTTATTTTTTTAGGTGTAGATGGACATAACACAATGCCTTTATTTTTATGTGGTGCTGAGGATTGAACCCGGGTCCCGCCTGTGCTAGGCGAGCGCTCTACCACTGAGCCACAATCCCAGCCCCAGTTTTTATCTTTTTTTAAACATGCAAATTTGTTTAGGATAGTAGTAGGTTTAGATAGTAATCCAACACTGTGATGTGAATTTAAGCTTAGCAGGTAACTTTATAAGCATGCATCAGAAGACAATGATTTATTTCTATCCTAAATTGAACTTCAATAGTGAAAGACTCCACCAACCACATACCAACAATCGAAAATAATTAACCAAAAAAGAAAAATTCCAAAATGTAGTAATCTTTTATGAATAGGATACTATGTGGTATGTACTCTGTGTAGGACTTTATGGATATATCATTTTTTATTTTTTGGTACCGGGAATCAAACCCAGGACACTAAACCACTGAGCCACATACCAAGCACATTTTTATATTTTATTTTCAGATAGGTTCTTGCTAAGTTGCATAGATCTTCGCTAAATTGCTGAGACTGGCTTAGAACTTTTTTTGTAATCATCTGATCATCTTGCTTCAGCCCCCTGAGGCTGATTACAGGAGTGTGCCACTGTGCCCAGTTGATATTTCATTTGTTAAAAATATTTATTTATTTTTTTTAGTTACAGGTGGGCACAGTATCTTTATTTTACTTTCAGGGGTGCTGAGGATTGAACCCAGTGCCTTACGCATGCTAGGTGAGCGCTCTACCTCTGAGCCACAACCTATCCCTGATATTTCATTTAATTCTTAAAATATCCTAGGCAAGTAAGTAACTTTTGCAAAGCGAAAAACCAAACAAAAACAAAGTAAATGGCAGAATGGGTACCCGGACACAGATCTGATTCTAAACCCAGAATACTTTACTCACTATATTTTAAATTCTTATTTATTTATTTATTTTCATTTCTTACTTACATTCTTTTTTTGTGGTGTTGTGGATTGAAGGCAGAGCCTGGTGCATATGAGGCAAGCACTCTATCCACTGAGCTATAGCCCCAGCCCCTACTTGCTATATTTTAAAAAAACAGATCAAATAATTCTAAAAATGGTGTATTCCTTATCCAAACTGCTTGGAACCAGAAGTGTTTCTGATTTCAGAATTTTTGGATTTTGGAATTTATATAGACAACAGTGGTCAAAAGTACCAAAGAAAACTTGAACACATTAATGATGTTTGCCATACATTGAGCTTTTGAAAGACATGTATCTATTCTATAAAATTTCTTCCAAAAGGAACTCAACAAATCCACAATCCCCACCCCCCCACCCCCCCGCGCCAAAATGTATTAGTAAAAGCCATAAATAGAAACAGAATGGGCCTGGGGTTGTTGCTCAGAATACTCAGCGGTAGAGCACTCACCTAGCACGTGCAAGGCCCTGGGTTCGATCCTCAGCACCACATAAAAATAAATAAATAAAGGTATTGTGTCCAACTACAACTAAAAAATAAAAATAAAAAAAAAAAAAAAAAAAGAAAGAAACAGAAAACTTAGAAAAAAAAAACTAGCACTGGGTTTGATCACCAGTACCACATTAAAAAACTAAATAAAGAAATAAAAATAAAATCACAAGTTGTGATATAATGAAATAATGCTTTCAAAAATAAATCCATGTGTACTTCTAACAATCTGATGTTTGAAATTAAAATAATTTTAAAACAATTTTTTGGGTACTGGGGATTAAACCCAGGAATGCCCTACCACTGAGCTACATCATTACTTTATTTTGAGAAAGGGTATCCATAAATTGCCTAGTCTGGCCTTGAACTTGAGATCCTCTTGCTTTCCAAGTAGGCTGGGATTTCAAGTGTGGGCTATCATGCTCAGCTGAAATAACATCTTTGATTTTATCTTTATTTTAATCTAATTTTTTCCCAGATAGGAGAAAAGAAATGTAGGACTGATGCAAAACAACAACAACAAAACAAAAAACAACTTTCTAATGATCAGAAACCAAAAAAACTGAAGGAACACTAAGTGAAATAACCAGGAAACTCAGTGAAGTAGAAGTTATGCACATGGATTTTCTAATTGTGGTAAATATTAACCTTCTAGTTACTCAAAGGCAATTTTTTTTTTTTTTTTTTGGATACTGGGGATTTAACCAGCCAGAACGTTAACCACTGAGCTAGTCCCCAGTCCTTTTTATTATGAGACATGGTCTTCTTGTTAAGATGTTTATGGCCTCACTAAGTTGCTGAGGCTGGCTTTGAACTTGCAATCTTCCTGTCTCAACCTCCCAAGCTGCTGGGATTACAGGGGTTCAAAAGTCCAGCTCAAAGTGAATTTTTGTGTGTACAGAATAATGTACTTCCTTTTCCATTTTATCATTTTATAATAAAAAATGCATTTGAGTAATCTGGAATTTTTATTTTTAGGTTTAGTGACCCTCGTAATGAGTTTTTAGGGCAATGAAATTTTTATTACAATATAAGGTATTAAAGTCTGTGATTTTTCAAATGCCTTTCAAGTAACTATCTGATATTTTGTCATTTATTTCTACCTATTTTTAGCATTTTTTTTTTAGAGAGAATTTTTTAATATTTATTTTTTTAGTTTTCGGTGGACATAACATATTTATTTTATTTTTATGTGGTGCTGAGGATTGAACCCAGCGCCACGCGCATGCCAGGCGACAGCACTACCACTTGAGCCACATCCCCAGCCCTATTTTTTAGTATCTTAATACCATCTTTTCACATTTTAAGCAACAGGTGTGTAAAGAATACATATTATTTTGGTAATTTACCTGTGCAAGAGAGTTATCTTCACCTTGCTTCTTCTTTTTCTTTTTTTTCTTTTTAGATTTTCCAGTTGGAAGAGCTCCCTCTCCCTTTTCTTTATCATCATCTGAAACCTGATATTAAAAGCAAAAATATTAAGTGAACCAATAGGTTAAATTTCCATTATACAGTAAATTATTACAAAATAATTTCATTCATTAGGTTCAGCCTTTATCCCCCCAAATCTAAATAAGAATTAGTAATGAGTGATAAAAACTGACCAAGAAATTACATATTTAAAAAAGTAATGAAGTACACAGAATTTCATTCTCCTGTTTTCTAGGATAGACTCCTTTTTGCCATGTCTTTCATTCCTTGTTACAAAAAAATTAGAGAGCTGTATAAACCTTCATGCTTTCTTTCTTTCTTTATTTGGTGTAGCTGGACACAACACAATGCCTTTATTTTTATGTGGTGCTGAGGATTGAACTCGGGTCCCACCCATGCTAGGTGAGCACTCTACCGCTGAGCCACAATCCCAGCCCAACTTTCATGTTTTAACAACTTACTTGATAGGTAAATCAAACAGAATTTTGGAGTAAAAATGCAGAGTCACACACATTATTTGCAAAACCACACAATAGTTCCAACAAACTAGGATCTAGGCTAAATGAAGAACAAAGTAAATCGGCAGAAAGAAAAAACAACAAAGTAAAACAGTAGTAAAGAAAAACCAATTCAAAGAGAAAATATGCAAAATTATGAACAGATAATTCATCAAAGAATAATAAAGAAGCACACGAAAAAAATGTTCAACATTAGTTAAAAGGAGATGCAAATTAAAACCACATTTTGATAGTCAGCCATCAGAATGGCCAAAATAAAAAATAGTGGCAACTGCAAATACTGGTGAGGATGCAGAAAAGCAAGATCACACAAACACAGTCCATGGGAATGTAAAGTGATACAGCCATCACAGACAACAGTTGGAAAGTTTCTTAACATAATAATAAATATGTATCTACAAAACACCAGTGATTACACTCCTGGTTATTCATCCCAGAGAAATGAAAACTTATATTCACACAAAAACCCTTGAACTGTGTGTTTAGCAGCTTTAGTCATAACACCCTGAAAATGCTTTTCAATAAGAGGATGGCTAAATTAACCGAGGTATGTTCAGATCACGGCTTATCACTCAGCAGTAAAATGGTACAAATTGCTGATACATACAACAAACTGGACGAATCTCCAGAGAATTCTGCTGGGTGGAAAATATGAACAGACAAACAAGAAATCCAAAATTCAATACCAAAAGGCCACATACTATATAATTCCATTAATATAACATTTTTTGTTTGTTTTTTGGGTATTAGGGACTGAACTCAGGGGCACTTGACCATTGAGCCACAACCCCAACTCTATTTTGTATTTTATTTAGAGACGGAGTCTCACTGAATTGCTTAGCCCCTCAATTTTGCTGAGGCTGGCTTTGAACTTGGGATCCTCCTGCCTCAGCCTCCTGCATGCGCCGCTGTTCCTGCCTTGTTTGTTTTTCTTAAAATGGGTTTTCATTATGTTGACCAGGCTGGCCTTGAACTTCTGGACTCAAGCAGTCATCCTGCATCAGTCAGAATAGCTGGGATACAGGCATGTGGCACCACACCAGGGTAATTTAAGATTCTTGAAATGACAAAATTATAGAGATGGAGAAAGGACTATGGGGGAAAAGGATCAGAAGAGAAGTGAGGGGGGCTATATATAAGGTTAATATGAGGAACCCTAACATGGTGGTGGAAGAAAATGTTCTGTATCTTGACTGTATTAATGTCAATATCCTGGCTACAATGCTGTACTACAGTGTTTATAAAGATGTTACTGCTGATGAAAACTGGGTAAAGGGTACAGAAGACTGCTCAGCATCATTATTTGTTCTTCTGTTTTTTTTTTTTTAATTTTTAAAACTTTTTTTTAACTTGTTTATAGACCTTTATTTATTAATTTATACATGGTGCTGAGAATCAAACCCAGTGCCTCACACATGCCAGGCAAGTACACTACCGCTGAGCCCCAGCCCCAGACTTCTTTTGTGTTTTTCTTTAAAAATACTTTTAAAAAATGTTATGACTCTATACGAATGCATGTGACTCTATGTCTCAAAAATAAAAGGCTTAATTAGAAAAATTAAATTCGGGAAAAAATGTCATTGAAAAGAACATTCTGCATGCCAAAATATCTATTGAATCAGAATTGCTAAATTAGTATTGACATGTACCACAGAGGTGAACTTTCCATGGAAAATGTTTCTTGCTTATTCTCACAGATGACAACCTAGGTTTCTATATTATCCTTATAGCAAGAGATGATCTGGGTAACTGCAATTTTTCTGCTCAGCATCATAGTCACTAGTATGATTTTGGTGATGTCATAAACCACCAAACAGCTTTTAGAAATTACTAACAGATGGAAAAACAAAGTAACAAAGATGACTAACCAATTTTTAGTTCAAGTTAATTGCCAATTGTGAGGAAACTTCTATAGAGGTTATAACACAGAAAGCATTTCATAAGCTTGAAAGGATTAAAACGCCACTGCACACGCCTATGATCTCAGCAACTCAGGAGCCTAAGGCAGGAGGATACCAAGTTTGAGGCCAGCCTGGATAACTCTTCCTAAGGGCTGGAGGTATATATAGTTCAGTAGCAATGCTTTCCTGGGTTCATCCCCAGTACTGCAAAAAAAAAAAAAAAAACCTAACAACAAAAAAACCCTCACATGAATCCATGCATACTATGAAGGATATTCAGGTCACAAGAACTGTCTTCAGTTTGTTTCTCAGACCATTATAATCAATTTCTTTCTTTCTTTCTTTTTAAAATATTTTTTAGTTGTAGATGGACACAATATATTTATTTATTTTTATGTGGTGCTGAGGATCAAACCCAGTGCCTCACAAGTGCAAGACAAGTGCTCTACAATAGAGCTACAGTCCCAGCCCTATCTATGATCCATTTCTTACAAATATGAAATGTAAGTTCCTTAAGACAAAAGGCTTGTTTTGTTAATGAGAAGGCCCAAATCAACTCTGTATCATCTTTTAACCCATAACAGAGTTGACTTTACAAATAAAAAACAATTTTTTTTTCTTTTTTTAGTTATAGTTAGACCCAATACCTTTATTTTATTTATTTTTATGTGGTGCTGAGGATCAAACCCAGTGCCTTGCATGTGCTAGGCAAGCGCTCTACCACTAAGTCACAACCCCAGTCCCCACTTTACAAATTTTTGACTGTAAAAAGAAGAGAGGCTGGGGTTGTAAATCAGTGGTAGAGTGCTTGCCTAGCACATGTGAGGCGCTGGGTTCGATCCTTAGCACCACATAAAACTAAATTAAGGTATTGTGTCCAACCACACACAACTAAAAAATAAATGTTAAAAAAAAAAGAAGAGAAATGAAAAGAAAAGAAAAGAAAAAAGATGCCGGGCCAGGCGCGGTAGCACATGCCTATAAACCCAGAGGTTCGGGAGGCTGAGACGAGAAGATCATGAGTTCAAAGCCAGCCTGAGCAACAGTGAGGTGCTAAGCAACTTAGTGAGACCTTGTCTCTGAATAAAATACAAAATAGGGCTGGGGATGTGGTTAAGTGATTTGAGTGTCCCTGAAGTCTATCTGGTACCCCCCCTAAAAAAACAAGAGGATGCTGGACATGGTGGTATATATCTGTAATCCCAGCTATTTGGGAGGCTGAGGCAGGAGGATCACAAGTTTGAGGCTGGCCTAGGCAACTTAGCAAGACCCTGTCTCAAAATTTAAAAATATCTTTAAAAATTTATATGAATTTTATTTAAATCTACATCTAAAACGGGTAGGGATGTAGCTCAGTGGCGGAACTTTCCCAGTTTGCACAATGGCTTGGGTTCAATCCCTGATAGCATAACATTATGATAAATCTTAAAATCTTTTACAACTCTGGCTGATCCTGTTCTCACTTTGGTAACAATGATTTCAACTTCTTGTGTGTCCATCCAATCGATTTGTTTTTTTAAGTTGTAGATGGACATAATAAAGTTATTTTATTTATTTATTTTTATGTGATGCTGAGGATTGAATCCAGTACTTCACACATGCTAGGCAAGCACTCTACCACTGAGTGACAACCCCAGCCCCATCCAAACAATTTTTCTATAAATTATGTGTATTCACACATAAAAATTTTACATAAGTGGTATTACTGTATCTTTCAGTAATTTGCATATTGTTCAGTAAGTTTTTTTTTGATGGGGGGTACTAGGGATTGAACTCAGGGCACTCAACCACTGAGCTGCATCCCTAGCCCTATTTTTGAATTTTATTTAGAGAAAGGATCTCACTGAGTTGCTTAATGCCTCGCTTCTGCTGAGGCTGGCTTTGAACTCGTGAGCCTCCTGCCTCAGTGTCCCAAACCATTGGGATTACAGGCATGCGCCACTGTGCCTGGCTTCAGTATGTCTTTGAGATTGTGTTCATACTGCTATTAATGTAACTTTAAAAAAGAAATTTTTTTTTTTGTTTTAATTGGACACAATACCTTTATTTTTTATTTTTATGTGGTGCTAAGGATAGAACCCAGTGCCCTGCATGTGCTAGGCGAGTGCTGTACCGCTGAACCACAACCTCAGCCCCTAGTGTTGCTTTAATCTATTTATTTTAAATTTCTCTTTAATATGCCATTGGATGAACATACTAATTTTATTTACCCACTCTCCAATGAGGGGCTTTTAGATGGCATCCTGTTTGCTTAGAAATATAAAGACAATCTGTAAATAGATTCAGGAAAAGAACTGTTATGATGTGTGATAAAGTCACTACTCATTGATTTTGCCAAATTCTAGTGATTAAGTACAGGGAAGTCCAGTTGGAGAAATACAGACTTTTGGTTATATACTCACTAAACATTCAACAAATACTGGAATGATTTCTGTGTGGAAAGGTAGTGTACAAGGAAGCTTTTGCAGACCTAGTCTAAATCTCATTTTTTTCCACCTCATATTTCATATTGCTTACTAATTTTACATGTATTATAACTTGCCAACTCCTACCTACCATTAGTACCTCTCCCTTTCTCTGGTCACTGAAGCTGAGTGGTAGTATACCTTATTAAAAGCCAATCCATTCACTTGTGCCCATGGCTTCCCCATCCCCTACTGCCTCTTCTAGATACTATTCTATTAGCCAAATATGATCTTTTATCTATGTTTAAGTTTTTACTTTATTCCAGATTCTTTCTCTTTTGTCTACAAAGCAGGAAGAGTTGGCAAACCACAAATTAATCCCAACACCAGCTTGACAAAGTTCACTTCCATATTTTATGGACGCTTACAGCATAGTTGAATGGCTGCAAAAGATCATATGGTTTCTTTTATAAAAAGTCTGCCCAACTTGCACTAAAGCTTTTTCTTATCATTAAAATACAAACAACCCTCTCCCCCACTACAAAATCCTGATACCACTATTACTGTCATCTACTACCTCTCTCCTCCATTCCGTTCCAAATTTATTTTTTAATTTTTGGGGTACTAGGAATGAAACCCAAGGATGCTTAACCACTGAACCACATTCTTAGCTCCCTTTTGTATTTTATTAGAGACAGGGTCTCACTGAATTGCTCAGGGCCTCAATAAATTGCTGAAGCTGGTTCTGAACTCATGATCCTCCTGCCTCAGGCTCTGGAGCCACTGGGATTACAGGTGTGCACAACTGTGTTGGGCTCCACACCTATTTTAAAAAAATTGTTAGTACTACTTTCTATCCTTTAATCACTTCGTATTCTAAAATATGGCTTCTATTTCAAGATTTATTTTCTCTTTTTTTTTGGGGGGGGGGATCGTGGGACTGAATCCAGGGTCTCATGCATGCTAAATACCACTGCATTACACTCTAATCTACTATTCCAAGATTTGTAATGATGTTGCTCTAAATTACCAGGAAGGAAATCCAGTCATTTTTAAGTTCTAATGTTACCTGCTACTTGCTATTTCTGATGTTATCACTCTCTCTCTCTCTCTCTCTTTTTTATTTTTGGTACTGGAGATTAGCGTGTTTAACCACTGAGCCACATCTCCCAATCCCTTTTTTATTTTTTTGGTACCAGGGATTAAACTCAGGGGCACTCAACCACTAAGCCACATCCCTAGCTCTATTTTGTATTTTATTTAAAGACAGGGTCTCACTGAGTTGCTTGGCATCTTATTTTTTCACTGAGACTGGCTTTGAACTTGCGATCCTCCTGCCTCAGCCTCCGAGGCGCTGGAATTATATATAGGTGTGCATCACTGTGCCTGGCCCAAATCTTGTTATTTTGAGACAGCGCTTTACTAATTTGCTAAGGCTGGCTTTGAACCTGTGATCCTCCTGTCTCAGCCTCTTGATTCATGGGATTATAGGCATATACTAACATACCCAGCACTGCCTCCTTAATACTTTCAACTGCCTGAGCCTCTATAACCCAGAACTCTCTACCCTTAGTCTCTTTCATTAACAAACACCCACTTATCCCTTATACTCACCTTTTGATCATCAGGAATTGGTTCCTGGGACTTCAGAAGTGAAGCTCTTTCATCTACCCAGTTCCCCCACTCTTCTGCTGGTGCATTCCAATCAGAACTGGGATCAGCAGAAGACAGACCATCTAAAATTAACAGTATAAATTAGCTATCATTTCTGTCATAAACTAAAATGAAAAAACTAAAAATTCCTTATGTTGAACTAAACTGTAATTTTAAATTATTGTTCTTCTTTTTCCTCAAGCACATTTTAAGAGCTAGAAAAAATAGTAGCATAATGGCAACAAACTTTATCCAAATTTTGCTAGGTATATGGTTAAGTGGTATTTCTAAGAGAACAGAAAACTTATTAACCATTTAATTTTATCCTCCTTACTTCCTTTATCAGTCTCCTGAATTTGTACTTCCTCCTATCTTTACCTCAGTCTAGGATTTGGTTGGATTTTTTTTGCTCTGATAATCATATTTTTTAACTGATTTATTTTCTATGGTACAGAATTAACTTTTAACACCAGTATCAAAATTATACCCCCCACCCCATTCTTGTGTACCTTTCAAAACGACATTCTCCAAATCACCAAGTTATGTACTTCTCTCTTTTTTTGGTACTGGGGATTGAACTCAGGGGCACTCGACCACCGAGCCACATCTCCAGTCCTATTTTGTATTTTATTTAGAGACAGAGTCTCACTGAGTTACTTAGCGCCTCACCATTGCTGTGTCTGGCTTTGAACTTGCGATTCTCTTGCCTCAGTCTCCCGAGCCGCTGGGATTATAGGCATGCGCCACCATGCCCAGCCTTCTTCTCTTTTAATACTTGGTAATCTGTGTACTTTACAGATTCTTCAATGCTTCCTAACCTGATGATTCACATAGATGTTTGAGCCACTTTCAGGGCTTTAATCATCCTAGTCTCGCAAGTTATTTTTATTCTAGATTTTTAAATTCTTTTCTTTCACTCTAGGTGGCACCAAATTTTTGCTGTGTGTGTGTGTGTGTGTTGGGAACGACTGGGAACTGAACCCAGGGTCTACAACAGAGCTACACCCATAACGCTTTCATTTTGAGAGATGGTTTTGGTTTTGCTAAGTTGCCCAGACCTACACTGAACTCAAGATCCTTCTTGTCTCATACTCCTGAGTAGTTGGGACTACAGGTATGTGCTACTGCGCACAGCTGGATTTTTACTATATTTATTTTGCAGTGCTGGTGATTGATCCCAGGAACTCCTGCATTCTAGACAAGGGCTCTACCACTGAATTACAGCCCAGGGCTGAATTTTACTTTCTTTAGGAAGTTCACTGGCTTATTGAAAATGGGGAAACCATTCTTTGATTTTTCCCTGAAACTAAGCAGGTCTCAAAGATAAATTTTTCCTCCTTTCTCTGCACATCATTATATTCTCATATACATTCCTGTAATATGTACTTACAGTCAGGTTTTAAGATAGAATAATAGACTTTAATTATAAATGGTCAATAAGTTGTCCTAACATTGCTTAAATTTAAAAAATTCAAGCCTTTCCCACTTCTTTTTATCAAGTACTAATTTCTTTCATATGCACTTGGGTCTGTTCCTGAAATTTCTATTTCACTGACCTATTCCTAGGATATGGCCATATATAACTTTGTAATACATTTTAGCATCTGGAAGGACAAATGTGCTTATGTTACTTTTATTATTATTTTACTATTCTTATTTTTCTAGATGAATTCTATTAAATATTTTGTTGAAAAACAGATATGCTTTGAAAGACCATATAATAATCTGAGAAAGTGCTCACAGAAAAACAAAAAAAGAGACAAAACTGTTTGCTCAATATGATCCCAAAATTTGTGTGAGGAAGAGGCAGAAGAAAAACACAATAATAAATATATATTAATAGTGGAATTACATCTAATTCAACTCTCATTAAGCACTTACTATGTACCATAATTGGAAGTTCGAGAGACACAAAAATGAGTGAGAGAGAAATCCCTGTCCACATGTAGGTCACAGTCTGTCTATTCAGGGATGGAGCATAACAGACAAATGTAAGCATAACAGACAATTAAGAACAGAGCAATAGATCCATTAGGGGGCTATGGAAACAGAGAAGGGAAGCAAATCCCATATAGGATAGGAAGAGACAGAGATTCAAGCAAAATTTATAGTCTAGTGGAGGAAAAACATAAAGAAGTGTGAAATGTAAACAAAAAAGGAAGTTTCTTCCTATATTTCTAAATTCATTAACATAAGGGGTATTCTAGAGTCAGTATTACACAGTATTAACATAGAGGTTAAGAACCTGAGTTTTCTTTTTTCTTTTCACCTTTTTTAGTTGTAGTTGGACACAATACCTTTACTTTATTTATTTATTTATTTTTATGTGGTGCTGAGGATCAAACCCAGGGCCTCGCACATGCCAGGCGAGTGCTCTGTCACTGAGCCACAACCCCAGCTCAAGAACGTGGGTCTTATAGTCAAGCAGATCTACATTTGAATACTTTTTTTACCACTTAATAACAATATGATTTTGTTCAAGTTTTTTAATCATAATGGGCTATAAATCAATTTTAAGGAGTACTGATAGGATTATATAAGATACATGTAAGGCAGTTCACAGCAATGCAGTAAGTGCTCAATAAATGGTAGCTATTGTTTTTATTATCACCAATGACATTAAAGCCATTTCTAAGCTATCAGTATATATAACTAAGACTTGATGTCTCACAATCCTAATATCTTAGTAAAATATACTTGATGTGTCTTTTTTGGGGGGAAAGGGGTACTGGGGATTGAACCCAGGGTGTTTTACCACTGAGCTACACTCCCAGCCCTTTTTATTTTTTAAAATTTTGAGATAGGGTCTTGCTGAGTTCTTGAGGCTATCCTCAAACTTGACAATCCTCCTGCCTCAGCCTCCCAAGTTGCTGGAATTACAAGTATGCACCACCACACCTGGCAATATCTTAAATGTAGAACAATTTTTATAAGCATAACGGGATCTAGTAGATGTCAAGAACTAATTGCCCATCTTACCCAAGCATTCATTAACCATAGTGTTCAGAGATTCAGAGCTGCCAATGGATTTACTTGAACCAAACAATTAAACTTCATAGATAAGAAACCCAGATTCAGAAAATTGTTGTCTATTAGCCTTACCTCTAAGACTGATTGCCAGAAAAGAAATAATCAAGTATAAAAAAGTTTAAAAAGTTGAATGAATCATATACTAACATATGACCTACTTTCTTGATAAATATTGTAGGGGGATGGGGGTGAGGGATAAACATCTATTATAGTACTTAGGGAAAAGTTTTTTTTTTTTTTTTGTACTAGGGGGCACTCAACCACTGAGCCACATCCACAGCCCTGTTTTGTATTTTATTTAGAGACAGGCTCACTGAGTTGCTTAGTGCTTCACAATTGCTGAGGGTGACTTTGTTTGGATAACAACTGTAGCAGGTAGACATGAAGTCTGGGTAACAACTGTAGCCCATGGAATGACTTCCATATAAGATTATTAACAGAAACATAACATAATCCCAGATTGTTTTTTCTTTACTGGGATCAAATAAAACTACTTTAAATCAATAGCTCAATCACCTAAACCTAAAAATTATTACCAGGAAACTTGGTAATAATTTTTATTATTCCTGGGCCTAATGAGCTAATAAACTTTTTGGACATAGTTCCCTTGAAAATGATTGATAGAAATTATTCTATTTCTCATCTCAAAATTCTTCCAGTAGTCTTCCAATATCTTTTAAAAGAGACATGTTAGTATTTTTTTTCCCTAAAAGGAAAAAGGAATTTGTTTATCCATTTAATTTGTTTGTAGACTAATACATTAGTTATCTCTTTGCCAGTTTCTATTTGGTTGCCAGCTATTTTTGCCAGAACTTAATTCAACATTAACTTTAACAACTTTAGTAAAACAATTATGAAAACAATTTGAAAGACATTCTCCAGTGTTTTAACAGAAATATTGATTAATCCCCATAAGTGAACTACTAATTTTATCACCAGAATATCAACAGGAACAGCAGCACTAATTGAATACTGACTATGTATGAAGTAATATTCTAAGTGCTTTATACGTACTAATCTATTTAACCCCCAACAACACTGCAGGGGAGGAATGACTATCTTGACAGATGAGGAAACCAGGGCATTTTAGAATGATCATGCAACCTGTCTAAGAGCAAAGGCAAGAAACCTAAGATTCGAACCTAGGTAGTATGTTTCCAAACCTTAACCACCTCAACATGATAACACCACACTAAAGATACTGACACAAAAAAATAAAATTCAGAGAAAATGAGGTTAAAGAAAAATTTTGGATTTAAAAGACTACTACAAACTTGAAGAACACCATCTTCCTCAAGTACAAAATTGCTGTGATACATGTTTTTAAAAATCTTTCATTTTAGCAGCCAATTACGTTTTTTTCATATTTGAAGACTCCTAATAGAGATAAGATAAAAGTGAAGCTAGTCTGCAGCAGGGAAGCCTGGAACCCTGTTTGCTCAATTTTCCTCAGTGTCAACCTCAGCACCTCAAGATGGCTTACTGCCAATTTCCTATAGTCACTCCTTAATTCTGTTCTGCAAATAGCTGAAAATTCTTCCTAAAGCACAGATAGGACTATTTTTCCCCAAAACAAGTGCTTTCACATTCTTATAATATCTTAAAATCAGATGAGACTTTATTTGCTCCATTTTATAGCTTAATTAACCTAGATTCCAAGATAAGTCATTGTACTATTAAACAAAAGTGGCTAGGCAATCAACTTTTTAAAAAAATATATAATTGCTTCAATACCAGAAAAAGTGATTACTATGAGATACTATATTTTAAAGTCAGGACTAAAATTCAGCTCTACCATTTAAACTAGTACTCCAACCCCCAGTTCCCTAATTTTCATAGGCAAATCAAGTTGTTTCAAAATATGGCCCTCCCTTGTCTACTTTTTCAACTTCTTCTGCCCTAATCTGTAATTGTGCTTCAACTACTGTGTTGCAAACTTACTTCTCTGATTACTGTCATCTCCAAGACTATCAAGTTTGCATACTACCCTCTGCCATTTAACTAGCTAGCTGTCCTAGTAAAAGTTAGATAACTTTTCTTTGCCTCAGTTTCTTCAACCAGAAAGTGGAGGGGGAAAGAATCTTTCTTTATATAATAAGACTTAGACTAGTGCTTGGTACATAGTTCAGTGTTTTCTTTTATCATCATTATCAACACTACTAAAATACCTATGTATACCATACTATAATAGGTACTGAGTATATAAAAGTATATAAAACCCTCCTTCAGAGGGTTTAAACCCTACTTGGAAAAAAAACAAAACAAAACATAAAATATATTTTTTTTAACATGCCAAAGAAAATATAAAATCCCACAGGGTAGAGTATAATTGCTTACCCCCCCCGCCAAAAAAAAAAAAGTAAAAAGGAAAGATATAAAAACTCAGAAAAATGAGTCAAGTTCTGCAATTTGGGGTTATGAAGCAAAAATAATATCAGATACTTTTATTTTTAAATGAAAATGGTATGGGCTTTCTGAGCATGAAGACTGTATCCTCTTTCCCTTCTAATTTTTATCCTCTTTGTTGTTTTTTTGAGAAAAGATTTCACTGTTACCCAGGCTGGCCCTAAACTTGTCTCATCCTGCTTTAGCCTCCTGGAATAGGTGGAATTAAAGGTATATGGCACTACACCTGGTTTCTCCCCATCTTTTAAAAATGATTTTTACCTTTAGCCTTCCCTATGTTCCTACTGGAAATTATGCTAAGAAAGTGGTTTTCTACCAGCACAAAAATTCAAAGCCATTTCTGTATATTCTATTCCCTCTTATAACTAGAAGAAACAGAAAATTTATTTAAAACAAAAATTCTAAACTAGAAGTACTATTAAGCAACTACAAAAAAACTTTAAATACTGCCTCAATCATTATGAAAACTCAGTTTTTTAACTACATGCATTCAATAAGCAGCTTTCAAGTAATACATTTGATATTGAACTATATTAATATGACCTTTAAAGATGAGAAGATTTAAATTAAATAATAAAGCATGAATTCAGGGTGCTATAAAGAAAATTCTAACAAAACAAAACAAAACAAAACAAAAACTGATAATTTTTAAAAGGACATACTTAACCCAGACCATTCATCATCGATATAGGGTTGATTACGGTTAACATCCCACTGATAATCAGAAGTGGTAGACTGAGAAATTGGCTCAGCAGTAGACCCTTAAATGAAAAACGAATGCAATAAAATTAAAAATGGAATTTCCTAATGATGTTTCATAACAATAGTTCTATTTTGCACATGGAGACTTTACTTTTTTGTTTCTCCTAAAAGGAAAAATTCAGACATTAGAAAAAGAGTTAAATTAAAAGAAAAAGTAGTATTGAGGGTATTTTAAGTTAAACATGATAATCATTAAATCTAATTTAATTGATCAGACACACTTTCCCTATAATCCCAATCCATTAGATTTCATTTTTTTGTAATAGATCCTTCCAACTAGTTACCTACAAATTTCAAGAACCCAAAGAAAGTTGTTTTATTTTTCTTCTTAATGAAAAGTAATAAAACTCAAAGAAAATCTCTGGTTATTGATGATTTTGGCCCTAGATGTTTCAGGGTTTACTATATCCTTAGAACCCTGAAAAGCAGAACTAGAAAACGTCTTGAGTTACCTACAACTTTCTGGCCAAAAGAAAGTTAAAAGAAATAGATGATCTAGAAAGGTGAGACAGAGAAAGGCCAAAGAGACAAGAGGATTGTTGAAGGTTTGGAGAGTTAAGTTTAGGTGCCTTTAAAAGAACAGAATATTTTAAATTTTGTCTCGTTCTTCTGTTTTTGTTTTATGGGGAGTGGGGAAGGAATAGGTGGGATGACAGTACCATGTCACAGAGTACTTTTGGAACTCAATGAGAGTGCTGTGGTAGTCTAACATTTAGAACTTAACACAAAATTGTACATCTAATTTTGGGGGCATGTAAGTTTACAGATGCCAGGTCAAATTCCTTATTCTACGGCTACGAATTCATTTTGTAATGTTAACAGTGGTTCTCCACCATGTATATAAGCATGTATGTAGATACAAATAGATTCACTTTAGATTCAGAGCCAGTATCACAAAGAAATGGTTAAAAAGGAGAGATTTCTAATAGTATAAAAGACTATACAATCATTTCCTCCCCTCAGAGTCCTAATTTATAACTTTTCACTTGGTTACAGATAATCTTACTAGCATTCCACTAACATGACAACTGCTTGATACATACTCAAAATAGTTATATTTTTATAACTATTTATAAATTTAAGTAACCATAGTATATATTTAGCACATTGGATACTAAGAAGCACTACTGTAATCCTGGTGCTTTTACTTTAAGAGCTCATGCTTCTTTCTCCAACCGTGTAGTATAAATGATTTGATTTCCCTCATCAAATGAGGGAAACAATTAACTTGCACCTAAAGATCTACAAGGTGGTCTATGAGATCAAGGTTTGGCAGTTTGAGACCCATGGGCCAATTCATCCATCTTATTTTCACAAGGTCCATGAGTCAAAAATACTTTTTATATTTTTACATGGTTGGAAAAAACATACATAAAGAATATTATTTTGGAACCAGACACAATTATTTGTTTATGTATTGTTTCTGGCGGCTTTACTGTTACCATGGCAGACTTAAGTAGCTGCAACAAAAAACAAACAAACAAATAAAAAAAAACTATAGCTCATAAAGCCTAAAATATTTGCTATTTATTCCATTATATAAAAAGTTTGCTGACCCTTATTCTAGGCTACTGATTCTAGACATTGTGGAACTACACAATTAGTAAACTGGGTCCATGAATTCTGATGTGTATCGAGCACTGCAAAGAGTGTCTTCCACATTTATGTAATATTTGTTTAAAAAAAATTTTTAAATTATCTTAGTTGTTGATGTATCCTATATATAAATATATATATAAATATAAATATTAATATATAGTGCTGAGGATCGAACTCAGTGCTTCACACATGCCAGGCAAGTGCTCTGCCACTGAGCCACAATCCCAGCTCCTGTTTTTAAAAAATTTTAATTGATACATTATACTTATACATAATAATGGGCTTTGTTACATATTTGTACATTCACATAATTTAGCCAATATGTAATATCTGTTAAATGTGTGTGGCTTCTAGGTGATTACTAAAAGGCATATCCACTTAAGTTATGATCAATCAATAGTTTTTTAAATAGTATACATTCTAAAACAATAGATACTCAAAGTAAAATTATTACGAGGGGAGTCTGCATAATCTGAAAGGTTTCCCTACCCATTCAAGATAAAGAAAAGGGAACAGAAACAAAACAAAACAAAAAAGCCAATATGCAACCACAAGTATAGTAGAAATAGACTAGAAACTGAAAATCATGACCGTAACCTAAAGGAAGGCCTTCCATGAGTATTTGTCTGTGCACTAACACATTGTCAGTGCTGTCTGGCCACAGAATCTTCCTTATTCCCCTGCAGAAAGGAGCTAAGCCACTAGCACATAAAAGGATTTAGGTTTTTTCTCTCCCCAACCCCACACCCTTTTAAAGATCTCTGACATTCTATTTATCTATTTTTTTTTAATGTTGATAGCATTATGTTGATGCTGATTATTTTTTTTAAATAACAAGTGCTAAAATTTATTTAAACAGAATTTGTTGTTGTTGTTGTTAACTAAATGAAAGACTGTTTTCACATACCAGAAACAGCAGAGTTAAGTGTGAGAGATGCAAAAGAAGCAGAATTCTGTTCAGAGGTATTCATTCCCCTATCCACACTAGACCAAGCAGCTGTTAAAATAAAGAACGTCACTTGGAACCTTCAATTTGCAAAGAAACTTGAAAGATATGTACAGATTTAAAACTATGATAACAATATTTAAAGATAACTGTAGAAATCACAACCAATAATACAGCAATAGCTACTATTTACATCTGTCTATGGCTGAGTCCCATTCCACCAGCCATTTCTAATTCTTCTGGTAAACTCTCTAGGCAGTTAAATAATTTGCTGACAGTTAGAAAACAACTGAGCTACGACTGGAACTTAATTTCCAAAGCTTATGCTCTTTCCATTATATCGAATTATTTTATTATCTATCATAATTAAGCAACTACCTGGGTCACATACAGAACTTGGTATATGATATTCATTATAATCAATCCTCACAAGTATAACATGAGGTCCCATATAGGTGAAATAACTAATCTAATGTACATAAAAGCTAGAGTGGTTATTTCACACCTAATACATGTGACCAGACAGTCCCATGTTACTATACCATGCTATCTAATCAATATTTTTAAAGACATTTCTTTCTCATACATGGGTATAGTCATGTACCACAAAAATGATACTTTCATCAACTGCAGACCATGTGTTCCCATAAGACAGTATCACCTAGTGACATCATAGCCATCTTAATTTAAGTACATGTTATGATGTTCACATGATTATGAAATAATCTAAGAATGCATCTTTTGAATGTGTCCCCATTGTTATGTGATATTTGACCATATTTTAAGGAGCATATATCTCCATGTGATCAGTCACATCTGTCTCCTTTCAGTGACCTACTGCAAACCTAATTTAATACAGTTCCTTTTCATTTTCAACAAGTCTGAATCCAACAAGGGAGGAACTCTAATTTACTGCTTTATTTTATCTGTAGCATCTCTAAGGAAGGACTAACATTTAATCTCTGTCCTAATTATAATTAAAACATAAACTGCGTATCAGAAAAGGTCACAGTTCCCAACATTACATCATAAAACCTGACCATTTCTTTTTATTAAATATGAAAGGATGCTTTTAGCACAGAGATTTGTGCTAACGGGTAGGAATTTACAGAATGTCTTCTTGATATTTCTAGTTTTATGACATGGCAGGGAAGGAGAGGAAAGCAAGCATAAGAACAATACTAGTAAATGATCTATGAGTTTGTTTTGAAAACAGTGGTGGGAAAACTAATAGAAAAAGAAGAAATTTTTCTCCACTTACAAACTAAAAACTTTCTAGTGTCTATTGCTCCCCAGATTAAAATAAACAAAGTATTAAAATGCCTGCCATAAGAACAATAGGGGGAAAAAAGTATATTTAATGCACAAGAAATAATTTAATTCAAAAAAATAAAACACTAAGAGGCCATTAGACAAATGGCAGAGAACACAAACATAATTCACACACACACAAAAAAAATAGAAATAGAAATGATCAAGAAAGTATGAGAAAAAAGTCAACCTCACTAGTGATTTTAAAAATGTTACAAAAACCATTTATGTACTTTGCTTATCAAATAAGATTTAAAAATTAAAAAAAAACTCAACCTTGGTAAGTATATAATAAATGAGCACATATACTGATGCTGAAAGTATAAGGAGAAAAACTGTCTGAGAAAATACTTTGCTAACATATAATGTGGCATTATAAACATTCATATTCCTTGAGCCCTAGTAATTCCCAGAAATCTATACTAAAGAAATGACCCTAAATCAAACATATTCAATGTAAAATCATATAAAACAGTTAAAAAAAGAAAAGAAAAATTATTTCTCCAATAATATGGAATAGTTAACTATGGTATATTATGCTTACTACATAATACACTATAGGGTCATTAAATAAAAATACAAAGAGTAAGGGAAATGTTTGTTACAATGGTGAGATGAGGGCAAAAGGAACATAACAATGCTCGTTTGAGTCGAGTCATATCAAAAAAAGAAAAATTATACACTGGCAGGAACAATCCTTAAAAAATTAAAACAAAAACAAACAAACAAATAAACAAAAAGCAAAAAAGTAACAGTGGTTATCATTGGGTGGTGAGACAATAGTGAACCTTTCCCTTTATCTTTATACAGTTTTCCATATTTAACATGGATTTCTTTTCTATACTACAAATACACACCTAAAAATTGAGTTGTTTTTAACTTAATGGCTCTTACAGAAATAAATTTCTCAAACTACTAGTCTTTATCAAAAAAATCTAGGGAAAAATTTATAAACAGGCATTCTTCAGATTATAAAATACTCAAAAATGGATGCTGTATGCTGTACTTCCACTTACTATTTTCACTAAGACTCAATAGAACTACTGAAATTAATTAAGTTTGCTTACACATTATATTTACCAAATCACAAACATACCAGTTATCTACACTGATAACCAAATACGATAATATTTCTGAAAGCACTATGTAACGAGTAAATAATAAATGCTGTATTCACTTTAGTTCCCACTTTGCTTCATGCAGATGATCTGAGATGAATTATTTCTATTATTTCTGTTTAGAAGGACTAATGTATCTATAGACAGACTTTTTCCTCTCTTCTGAAAAATTCAAAATATACCAGAGGTTAGCAATTTTAAATGAACATACATTTTTCTAATGGTTCTTACCAATGCCAGAAAATATTGAACGGTCACTCCAGCTCCTTCCCCAGTCTTTTCCATTTGCATTAGCATCACCAGTGTCTTGAGTCCAAGCAGATGGCTCTGTTTTCCTCTTGCCTGCAGAAGCAGGTGGAACAGAGTTCCACTTCTCCTCACCTGCACTGATCTGTGAGGAGTGTTTTACAGACTTTTCATTCCAGCCTCCTCCATTGATAGTAAGGTTTTCATTCAATCCTGAAGAAACTTAAAGAAAAGAAATAAAGATTAAAAATAAGTATGCAACTTCTTGTTTAAAAAATAAGTATATTTTCAAATTTCTACAATTGTTTGGCTTATAATGACCATTCCTTTGTTTCTTCCTTTAAATAGCTTGAGCTTTAAAGATAAAAATCAATTATAAAGTGACATAGTCACCCCATACCTCTTTCAATGGCAGAATTACTGCCTCAAAGGAAGTACAACAAAGTGAACAGGAAAATGACATATATTCTAGTATACTCAAAATACTCACCCAACTCATATGAAGACTTCTCCCTAGTTAGATATTATTTCCTTAAACTATTCTATACGTTATGTATAGGCAGCAATTCTAAAAACCCTGGCTTCACATTAAAATCAACTAATATTTTTCTTAAAAATAGGCTTTGGAGCTTCAGCCCAGACAAATTAAAAATCAGAATGTCTTGGGGTGAGGCCCAGGTATTTTAAGTATGCATGGAAACACAGGCGATTGTGAATATATAAGGACATGTTTCTTTTGATGCACATGTAAGTATGTGTACATGTTTTTTTTTTTAAGCTTCCTAGATGACTGTAATATGTAGCCAAGATTGAGACTCATAGGCATGAAGGAAGGTGACACTGATTAAGAACAAGCCTGAAATGAAAAAGGTGCTTTTTTCACTTACGAATTTATTATAACTTTTGTTTTCGCATCATGTATCACTCTACTTAATCCAATCATCACCATAAATGAGTAGATAAATGTATTTTATGTTTGTGATATTCTGAGTACCTTACAGTCCATTTACTGTGATATATTAGATACTATCAAAAAGGTAGTTAAAAATAATAACTAAGGCTTTTTTTCTTAATATATGAGGTAAAGTTTTTATTTCACATGACTATATTATATTCACATTCAACAAAAATCCTTCTCTACTGGTTTAAGCAATGCAAGCAAGAAACAAAATTGCATATAAATGATTACTAAAAGAATGTTTCTATGTATGGGGACGTCAGAAAGCTAAAACATACCAAATGCTGTTAGAAGTGGGAGTAATTTTTCTTTTTATCTATTTTCCAAAAAATCTCTGGATTATGTTACTTTATTAATTAAAAAACCATTTTAAATCCTTTTATTTTCCTTCTGCATCACTTGTGTGAAGAAAAAAGACATGTACATAAGTTTCTATTTTGACGGGCCTTCAATTTAATTTACATGTAATTTCTCTCACCCTGAAGTGTAGAATCTCCTTTTCCAGACTTAAAGTTGCTAACTTGAACATTTAGAAGAGAATCACCTGGTTGAAATAGAAATAAAATTTATTTAACACTAAAGGCCACTGTGCACGTTAAGTTAGGAGTAATATACAAATTAATTTTTACTTATTATCTATAATAAATTGTTTCTTCAAGTGCCAGATTCTTACACAGGAAAAAAGTAAATTTTACAACACATTTCACATGTTCATAAGTAACTGATTCTCTAATTACCATATCCTTAGTCAACTAAAATACCAATAAAGAAAATTATCCAAGCATAAATAGGGTTTGCTATTTTGCAATAGTAATCTAGATTATTTTAAGTAGGAACTGCAGAACTGGCCTCCAAAATTGGATTCAACTTTGCCACCTCTCAAATACCAGTTGCCTTTTCAACAATCCTAGAAACAAACACATCAAGTTCTTAAGAAGAACTTTACCAGTATTTGGGACTAGAACTTAGGAAATAAGGCAAAAGGTGAGAATGCAAGTTTTAAAACAAAATTACAATTTCTCTGTCACTAAAAAGCATAATGATCATAACGTATGAAAACAAAAACAAAAATACAATCCAGCATGAAACGGAATTGTGTGAGAAAGGAAGGCACAAGTACAAGACAGTGAAAAGGGCTACCAACTGAATTACTAAAGCACAGCTAACATGTGATAGTGAAAATGAGTAAGTAGAATTAAGTCACTGCTATATTGTGGCAATAAATTCCAACAAGTTACCAAACAAAAAAGAGTAATAAGGCTAAGAAAGTGATCTGGAAACAACTGAGTGATGGTAAGATGAGAGGTCATTAACAAAAAGACAAGAGTGAGTTAAGTCAATGTTTTGAAGCAAATTGAACAGCATCACTTTGCAGACTGGCATGTCTGGTGTAAAATGATGGCAATGTAAAGTGCTACCAAGAAGCCATCAATATTGATAGTTTGAACATCTGAAATACTTGGAAGATCATAAGCTTAATAACCTTTCAAGTTCTGCTTTACCAAACATCTCTGGTCCTCTCAAAAAGCTAGGGTGATAAGAAATCCAGATAGAACCTGCACTAACCAGAATATGCCTGTTTTATCTTGGAATGAAAGCACCCAACATGCATAATGGTGATAAATAATTCCATTTAATAAATGTTTTATCCACTATAAGAAATGAGGTGCAAGAGTTGGGGCAAAGCAATACATATAAAGAAAAGGAGCAACATCATTTTCTCATGTGACTCAAGGCAGAAAGGCAGATTTTAACAAGCCATTCATTGGGCAATATGTAAAAAATAATACTGATGGTATTAGGTAAACCAATACATGGTTCATAATATTCTCATGAAGAAGGGTATATCAGCACAATGACATTAGCAATTCAAAATATTTTGTAAATCTGATTTAAAGGAGTTTGATTTGATGTACCACTCTTATGTTCCACTAATATACCTTTATTCTTCTTGGAACCAACAGGAAATGATGCAGTTGTAAGTTGATCGGTGGTAACTGTGATGGTATTTTCTATCCCAGGGATAGTTGAATCCAATGAACCAGAATCAGGCAGCACCTTATCACGTTTACGCTGTTGTCGTTTCTCTCTGTGACTAATTTTAGTTTCCCAGGCTCCTGACATAGCCCCAGAAAAAAAATGTTATTCAGTAAGGGGAAAACAAAAAAAGGTGTAGTTTTGAGGGAAAAATGGGGTGGGGCACACAAGGTATCATGATAAATGTATATATTAAACTAAAAACCCAGAGTGTTGATTTTATTAATTTAAACTAAGAATTTATTCTAAGCTTATTGTTATAGGCAACAAACCATTATTATGTATTCTAGCATTTTTCTTAATCAAATATGTCGTCTATAGAAAAAGTGATACAAATAAGTCATCATGTATCTTTTTATTTTGCTGGGTAGAAGTGATAGGAATGATATATATATAAAATCACTAATAAACGGGTTTATTAGGTAATGAAGATAAATGGCTTATTCAAGAATTTTACCAATAAAGGAAATTATCCAAGCATAAATAGGGTTTGCTATTTTGCAATAATAATCTAGATTATTTTAAGTAGGAACTGCAGAATTGGCCTCCAAAATTGGATTCAACTTTGCCACCTCTCAAATACCAGTTGCCTTTTCAACAATCCTAGAAACAAACACATCAAGTTCTTAAGAAGAACTTTACCAGTATTTGGGACTAGAACTTAGGAAATAAGGCAAAAGGTGAGAATGCATGTTTTAAAACAAAATTACATCCCTGTCAGGGATGGTATATTTAAAAACAATGGGGGAAATCCCCAAAACCATACTTAGGAAACAAAGACAAGATGAATGGCTTTTCAGTTTGTTCAAAATACTGAGGTAGACCTAAATTTCAAGGTAGTTTCATTTACGAAAAGCACTATCGAATTGTCAAATAATTTAGAAAACAAATTGTTTCCTACCAGTGTCATAGATCTGAATTTGAAAAACTATAGTAATTAAAAAGAAGAGCTAGATACAAGACTAACTAAAACAAATGAAGCTTTTACATGATACACTTTGGTTTAAAAAAAAAAAAAAAGGATTTTAAAAAATTTCTACAGTGCTTTCCCTTGCTCAAATACCTTCATCAACTTCCTTTCCATCATGGCGTGAACTGTTTTGCACTGCTTTAGCATCTGACTTTGATTTCTTCTTATTTTTCTTTGACTGAAAGTAAAATAGAACGTAACTTATTATTTTGTTATGTTTTTGAAAAGGTAGTAGTCAGTAAAATACATAATGAAATGTATGATGCTGACACTAAAAATTTTAATGAGTTTGATTTAAAAAACATAACATATTAACTGGCAATAATATAAAGTTACCATTTATTGAGTGGTTTCTAAGTGCTAAGTACTTTGCACTTATTTTCTTATTTGTTGCTTTAAAAAAAATCACTGGAAAAGGCATTATCTCATTTTAAAGATAAGAAAATGGAGACTTAGAGAAATATTTGTTAAATATTTAATAGGCAGTACTGGGTCACATTAAATTAGTAAGTTAAGTTGTAATTAGAAACTAGTTCTGTCTGGCTCCAAGGCTGTGCTCATAGACATGTTATTCTACCTCATGGTACAATAAGGTGCTGTAATATGCTGCTTTCAGGGCAATAAAATTAAAACCCATTGCCTGTGTTCACAAGGAAAATGATGAGACAACTATTGGTTTTTGGATTGCATAAAGCACATTGCTGATAAACCCTACGTACAACAAATAAATTAATCAATTGTACAATGCAAGTAACATTTTGTTTCTTTCTTTATTTTTTGGGGGGTGAGTGGGTACCAGGGATTGAACTCAGGGTCACTCAACCACTGAGCCACACCCTCAGCCCTATTTTGTATCTTATTAGAGACAGGCTCTCACTGAGTTGCTTAGCACCTTACCATTGCTGAGACTGGCTTTGTACTCCCAATCCTCATGTCTCAAACTCCTGAGCTACTGGGATTACACCATACCCAGCCGCAAGTAATAATTTGTTACCTTCAAAGCAATGTGAAAATACTGAAGACTTATATATAGATGTTTAACAATTCAATGAAGATAAAATACCTACATGATACAAGAATGGCCTTTCTGTTAAATTATATTCTCCTCTCAAAAGCTGGCCAAAAATTCCATAAAGCCATGATTTCTACACTTAGATAAGTACTTACAGAAAAGAATTAACATGCATTGAAGTTTTTATATATACTCTGTACTCACTTATTTAGTTATATATTAATATCAGCCATATATATTATTGTGGACTATCTAAAGTCTCAAACTAAATAAGAGATTGTATCTAAATGATAAGCCTTTTGTATGAGTAAGCAATTTCAGCTAAGCACTTATCAATAAACAACTTGAAAATACAGTTAGTCCTCCAAATCTGTGGGGAAAATGCACCTGTACTGAACATGTATACCTTTTTTTCTTGTCACTATTCCCAGAATATTAGAGTAGAAAAATTATCCATAGGCTGGAGATGCCCATCAGTGGTACAGCACTTGCCTAGCATGCACAAACCCTGGGTTTGACCCCTGGCACCATCCCCCCCCCCCCAAAAAAAATTAAGCCAGGTGTGGTGTCTCACACCTATAATCCCAGAGTCTTAGGAAGCTGAGGCAGGAGGATCACAAGTTTGAGGCTAGGCTTAGCAACTTAATGAGACTCTGTCTCAAAATAAAAAATAAAAACTGGGGGGGAGAGCTCAGTGATAAAATACCCCTGGGTTCAATCCCTAATACAAAAAAGAAAAAAAATCTATTTACACAGTGTTTACATTATATTAAATATTACAATTAATCTAGACATCATTTAAAGTATATTAGAGAATGTGTGTAAGGTACATAGCAAGTATAATGCCATTTTACAGTATAAGAGATTTGGGCATCTGCAAATTTTGGTATCTGCATGGTCTCCTGGAAATACCCCACAGACACCAATGGACAACTGTGACACAAGCTTTTAAAAGTGATAAAAAACTATTTGTAATAAGGGAGTATATAAAAAAAAACTATTTCTGAAATTTTTTTTTGTTCTCATAACTGATTTTCATGTTTCTTTGCATGTTCTCATTATCATCAACATGTATCATGTTTAATATACTGCTTTATTATATAAACCAAACCAGGATTTTCAAACGTTGAGGTATTATCCACACACAATAATATTGACCCTTTAAAAATACCAATTCAACTGTTTTATTATATTCAAAATAGCATAACTATTACCATTATTTTCTTAGACCATTATTAACACTCCCTACTCTCCTCTTTTCCCTGGCACCCTCTAATCTGCTTTTTATCTCTGTCTCTATTATAACCACTCAAAAGATAACATAGTGAACATTTGTCAACTACAGTCTAGAGTGGAGCAGCAAATTCGTTTTCTAAAGCATCAAATAGTATTTTAGGCTTAATGGGACCATCTGGTTTTGTAGTAACCACACAACTAACTTTTGTAGCATAAAAGCAAGTATACACAATATATAAATGAAGTGAATGGTACTAAGTTCCAATACAACTATTTACAAAAACAGTCCTCTGGTTGGAATTGGGGAGCCAGGGGTTGCTATTTGTAGTCTATAGCAGAGCCATCCAATAGAAACCTAATGCAAGCCACATATATAGTTTAATGTTTTATAGTAGACACATTTTTAAAAACTTAAAATAGGTGACATTAATTTTAATAATATATAAATACTATTATTTGACCACATAATCAATATAAAAAACTATCAATAAAAAATGATAATATAGGCCGGGCATGGTGGCGCACGTCTGTAATTCCAGCCAATCAGGGAGGCTGAGACCGGAAGATTGAGAGTTGAAAGCCAACCTCAGCAAAAGCAAGGTGCTAAGCAACTCAGTGAGATGCTGTCTCTAAATAAAATACAAAACAGTGTTGGGGGTGGCTCAGTGGTCAAGTGCCTCTGAGTTCAATCCCTGGTTACCCTCCCAAAATAAGACAATATAAGAATAAGATAAACTAAATCTAGAGATAAAGATAAGGGGATTGAGACCATTAAGAAATTACACAAAATGTCTAAGTAATTAAGTGGGAATACCAGGAAAGGTTCAGTTCTGACTCCAGACCCTACCCTTGCAAACACTCTGCTATTCTCCCTACATGTAACTATAAATGCAAATTTAAATATGCATTAACTACATGGCTTTGGGTTAAGTCACTATAAATCCTTTCCTCCAACTGTCACACAGGACAAACACTTCTACTAACCTCAGATATAATTTTCTTTTAAGAATTAAAAAAAATGTCAAGAACTATGTAATGTTTTGAACAACCAATAATAAAATAAAAAAAATATATATATAAAGAATTAAAAAAAATTAAAAAGATTACTAACTAAAAGCATACATAAATAAAAATTTTAAAAAGAGGGAAACTATGAAAAAATGATAGAAATTACAGCCATAAATATACCCAGATCTGTCACTAAACATCTGTAGAAAAAGATTATCCTCTTGGATGAGACATGAATATTGTTGAAATTTACTATTACTTTGAAAAGTAACTACCAAAAAAATAAGGCACATTCAGATGAGACAATATTACATTATGAAAAGTTTTAAGATAAATATATAATATAATACATATACCTACTTGCCCCGGCCATTTTACTGAAGTGAATGTCTTGTTTCTAAGCAGTTCCACTTCAGTTAAATCTTCTGAAGAAAATCTGCAGCACTAAGTTTTGGCTTCCTTGTTACTTTACTTTCTTTCCCCCCATTTGTTTTCAGGCTCTGACAAGGAGCTGGGTAGATTATTAAACTATCCTTCACCAAATAACTTGACAGCACAAAGATCTGATTTAAAAATGGATAAATGGTTAGAATAGAAGAAGATATACAAATGGCCAAGAAGTATATGAAGAAATGCTCAGTATCACTAATCATCAGGGAAATACAGATGAAAACCACAATGAAATTGTACCTCACTCCAGTTAAATGGCTATTATCAAAAGACAAAAAATAACAAATGCTGGTGAGGCTGCAGAGAAAGGGGAAATCTTATGTACGGTTGGCAGAAATGTAAATTAGTATAGCCATTATGGAAACTGTACAGATGTTCCTCAAAAAAACTGAAAACAGTAATCCCACCACTGTGTGTGTGTGTGTCCAAAGGAAATGAAATCATTGTATCAAAAGAGATATTTGCAATCCCCTCTTTATTGAAGCACCATTCATAATACCCAAGAAATGTAATCAACAAATAGATGGATAAAAAAATCTGGTAGTATCTATAGTGGAATATTATTCAAAAAGGATGAAATCCTGCAATTCATGGCAACATTGATGGAAGTGGAAGACATTATGTTAAATAGGCTAGGCAAATACTGTATACTCTCACTCATTTGTGTAAGCTTAAAAAAACTGGTAACAGAAGTAGAAAGTAGAATAGAGGTTGCTAAAGCTAGGAAGGATAGGGGGAAGTGAGGGAGACTCAGAGAGTGGATAATAAGTACCAAAACACAGAGTCAGGGGATAGAGTTCAGATGTTCTATAGCACAGTAGTTCATAGCAATTAAATACACATTTCAAAATAACTATAGGAAAAGGGTATGAAGGTTCCCAATGCACAAAAATGATAATATCTGAAGAGATGAAAATGCTAATTATCTGGATTTGATCATTACAAATTGTAGATATGTTATATTATAATATGGTATCCCATAAGTACAAATATTATGTCAATTAAAATTTAAAAAGCAAGCCTTTCTTCATAGTCTTCATGTTATTAACATTTATGAAATGTTTACTATGTGCCAGACATTGTTTTAGGAGCTAAGTATTTAGAACTGAATAAATGTCTACTTATGGCAACTGTGCTAATTATCTAATAGGAAAGACATGTAATTGCTATTAGGAGAAATTCTCATCAAGGGTTTCCTTCCTAATGGTTACCTCCAAGATATCTACACCAATCCAATTAATTTTCTTTCCTAATTTTGAAAACAACTACAGATATGTCCTATTACCTATAAAGTCTTAACTTACAAATTACTTATATGACATGTAAGGTCTCCTACAAATTAATTTCAACCTCTTTTACTCATATATGCAACTATTTGTTTTCTATATGACTGACCATCTCTTATACCATTTCCTGCTTTGCCTAGGTTGCATGACTTTGGACTTATTTTTTCTTGGAATGAAATGTTAGCC